TGCCGGGCTCTGGCACTCTCCAAGGCGACGCAATTGCTGAAGATCTTTTTCTGGAAGCCTATCACCCAGTGGTGGATGCGTGGACCGCTGACCTTGGTTGGCAACATTGTGATTATCAGGTTTTGGCTTTTTCACCTTTGGATTTGGCAACCATCGATTTGGCTGTCACTACATTTGCTGATGATTTATGCAGAAAGATTTTCGTTGAGTCGCCCGAGGATGCAAATCAGAAAGTACGACGTAGCAATCAGGCACTGGGGCCCTGGCCGCAGCAGGCATGGCACAGAACACCAGCAAACAAGAACATGTGGCTTTCTTTGGCGGCAAACACAAGTACAGCCACAACCGCCAAATTTTCCATCAACAACTGCTACCAGGAAAAGCAGTCCCCTTTGCCAAATATCTGGGCGGCTTTCAGACCCACAATTTTTCTCCTGTGCATGAGCTTGATTTCCGGGTATCCCGCGCTTTTGTTGCATGGAGCACACTTCGAGGTCTCTGCATGGTATTCGCGCGGACTTCCCTGGCGAGGTCTGCGTGGCTTTTTTTTGGGTATGGTGTATGAAGTTCTGTTCTCGGGTTTGGAAGTATTGCTTTTGTCTACAGGGCATTTACAACGGCTGGATCGTGTGGTGCTGGGCTATGGTTGCAAACTCATGCGCGGAAAAGGCTGCATACAAACACAAACTGACACTGGTGATACCAAGTACAAGGAGCTACCAAATTTGGAAGTATTTAGCTACCTTGGAGTGGCACCTGCCTACACTGAGCTCCGGATTCGGCGCCTCAAATTTCTGCAAATGTTGGCCAGAGATCCTTTCAAACACGTTCAAATTATTACAGCAATTTTTGGAACTTTTGATTTTGATGCAGAACCCACTCTGGATCCCTTGCAAGGCGTGGACCCAAGTGCCAACAAATATGCCTTGCTTTTCTGGAAAGACTTGCAGGCATTGGCTTGCCTTGATTCTGCTCATTGGCTTTTGGAGATCGCTGATGGCAACATTATTGCCTTTCTTACAGATCTTGCTTCTGATTTTATTCACGTGGATGTTACTGAGCTCCGTGCCGCGGACCTTTCTGTGCACATCCCTCCCCCTGGACAGGCCTGTGCTCATCCTGTGGAAGACGATATCGAGCCGCTGCCAGATGAACCTTTGCAACACTGTAATATTGTGCTTGAAGACGGCAGCGTGTGTGGAAAACAGTTTCATTCCTTGCGTGATCTTTTGCTACACCAACGACGGAGCAAAGCGTTCAACCACAGTACAGTTTCTGATTTTTTTCAAAGCGGCTCATGTTAATCAGTGTCCTTGGTGTTTTATGGTACATGCTAACATTATTTCAACTCGAAGACATATCAGACAACGGCTTCATACTGGAGTGTGCCCTCTGATTCCCGGTGCGGAAGTTCTGTTTTCGCGCACCCAACGCCCCCTGCCGGTTTGGTGTGCAAATTTTGCGGGCATAAGAGCGATGACTTGCTGCAGCTTTTTTCTCACATCAGATCTCATTTCCCGTAACGTTCATTTCAGCATGGATGGTTGGCGCAGCAGACCTGCAGGGCCAGGGGACGGTGATGTCCCTGCTGGCAAGGTGCGGGCGGTGTCGCCCAATGAGGACACTGTGTTGCTACGCAAGGCAGTTGCATTGGTGTCCAAGATGACCCTCTGCCAAGAGCTTGAGATTCGCGAACTTCAAGCTGCAGTGTTTCGCTGCTTCCTTTTGAAGGAGCCCAACCCTATCATTGGTGCTATGAAGACTTCTGTGGGGACTTTCTGGGAAAAAGCCAAGCAAGCTCGGGCAGCCGGGGGCAATAACAGCCCTGTGGGCGAAGTTCATGCACATGCATGTGCCGCTGTCACGGAAGTTGCCGCTGCACAGCCCAGCTTAGAGAGCCTCACAAAGAACGCAATTGTGACCCACCAAGCTGCCATGACACATCCTGATATGGTCGCGGGGATTGTTTACCTTGCCAAGCTCAAAAAAGCATTCAACAAGGGTGAGTACAAGCTTTTACTTGGCCGTCCACCTGGGGCACCAAGACCTGTTGCAAGCTGTTGTTGCTGGCATTCTGGCTACTGGTGCTGTGGAGAAACGCGGCACAGCGCCGCAAAGTGGAATGGCGCGAGAGCTTCAAGGATTGGTGGACCACTTGGCTGAAGTGAGTGGCTAATTTGAAAATTTTCATTTTTTGATGTTCTGCAGCGGCACTTCTTTTGGATGAGTTGTGTAGGTGCTCTGCAGCACCGTAGCATTGTAAGTCCACGCTTAATGCGCGGCAGCTGTGTTGAGCTTGAGCCCTGTCGCTCTGTGGGGGCACGCGGCCTGGGTTTGGTAGAAAGAGGGAGGCCCGAGTGACTGCCTCTCGCTACGTCGTGACAGGCTCTGTTGCCCATGACGGTTGAGTTGAGTTGAGTATGCATGTACAGTACGTATGTAAGCATGTATGCATGCACAGTATGTATGTATGTATGCACATGCATGTAAGCATGTACAGTATGTATGTATGCATGTATGCATGCACAGTATGCATGTATGCACATGCATGTATGCATGTACAGTATGCATGTATGCATGTATGCACATGCATGTATGCATGTACAGTATGTATGTATGCATGTATGCATGTACAGTATGCATGTATGCACATGCATGTATGCATGTACAGTATGTATGTATGCATGTATGCATGTACAGTATGCATGTATGCACATGCATGTATGCAGGTACAGTATGCATGTATGCACATGCATGTATGCATGTATGCATGTACAGTATGCATGTATGCACATGCATGTATGCATGAACGGTATGTATGTATGTATGCATGTATGCATGTACAGTATGCATGTATGCACATGCATGTATGCATGTACAGTATGCATGTATGCACATGCATGTACAGTATGCATGTACAGTATGCATGTATGCACAAGCATGTATGCATGTACAGTATGCATGTATGCATGTATGCAAATGCATGTATGCATGTACACTATGTATGTATGTATGGATGTATGTATGTATGCATGTATGCACATGCACGTATGCATGTACAGTCTGTGTGTATGTATGTACGCATGTATGCATGTACAGTATGTATGTACGCACATGCATGTATGCATGTACAGTATGTATGTATGCATGTATGCATGTACAGTACATGCATGTATGCATGTACAGTATGTATGTATGCATGTATGCATGTACAGTATGCATGTATGCACATGCATGTAGGCATGTATGCATGTACAGGATGCATTTATGCACATGCATGTATGTATGCATGTATGCATGTGCAGTATACATGTATGCACATGCATGTATGCATGTATGCATGTACAGTATGCATGTATGTATGTATGTATGCATGTATGCATGTATGCATGTATGCATGTATGCATGTATGCAGGTACAGTATGCATGTATGCACATGCATGTATGCATGTATGCATGTACAGTATGCATGTATGCACATGCATGTATGCATGAACGGTATGTATGTATGTATGCATGTATGCATGTACAGTATGCATGTATGCACATGCATGTATGCATGTACAGTATGCATGTATGCACATGCATGTACAGTATGCATGTACAGTATGCATGTATGCACAAGCATGTATGCATGTACAGTATGTATGTACAGTATGCATGTATGCACATGCATGTATGTATGTACAGTATGTATGTATGTATGCATGTATGCATGTACAGTATGCATGTATGCACATGCATGTATGCATGTATAGTATACATGTATGCACATGCATGTACAGTATGTATGTATGCATGTATGCATGTACTGTATGCATGTATGCACATGCATGTATGCATGTACAGCATGTATGTATGCATGTATGCGTGTACAGTATGTATGTATGTATGTATGCATGTACAGTATGCATGTACAGTATGCATGCTTGCATGTATGCATGTATGCATGTATGCACATGCATGTATGCATGTACGGTGTGTATGTATGCATGTATGCATGTACAGTATGCATGTATGCACATGCATGTATGCAGGTACATTTTGTATGTAGGTTTGTGTGTATGTATGTATGTATGAATGAATGAATGTATGTATGTATGTATGTACAGTATGTATGCATGTATGTATGCATGTATGCATGTATGCATGTATGCACATGCATGTATGCATGTACAGTATGTATGTATGCATGTATGCCTGTACAGTATGCATGTATGCACATGCATGTATGCATGTGCAGTATTCATGTATGCATGTATGCATGTATGCATGTACAGTATGTATGTAAGCACATGCATGTATGCATGTACAGTATGTATGTATGTATGTATGTATGTATGCGTGTATGCATGTACAGTATGCATGTTAACACATGCATGTATGCATGTACAGTATGTATGCATGTATGCATGTACAGTATGCATGTATGCACATGCATGTATGCATGTACAGTATGCATGTATGCACATGCATGTACAGTATGCATGTATGCACATGCATGTATGCATGTACAGTATGTATGTATGCATGTACGCATGTACAGTATGCGTGTATGCACATGCATGTATGCATGTACAGTATGTATGTATGCATGTATGCATGTACAGTATGCATGTATGCACATGCTTGTATGCATGTGCAGTATGTATGCATGTATGTATGCATGTACAGTATGCATGTGTGCACATGCATGCATGCATGTACAGTATGTATGTATGTATGTATGTATGTTTGCATATATGCATGTATGCATGTATGCATGTATGCATGTACAGTATGCATGTAAGCACATGCATGTATGCATGTACAGTATGTATGTATGCATGTATGCATTTACAGTATTCATGTATGCACATGATGCATGTATGCATGTACAGTATGTGTGTATGCATGTATGCATGTAAAGGATGCATGTATGCACATGCATGTATGCATGTACAGTATGTATGTATGCATGTATAAATGTACAGTATGCATGTATGCACATGCATGTATGCATGTACAGTATGTATGTATGTATGCATGTATGCGTGTACAGTATGAGTGTATGCACATGCATGTATGCATGTGAAGTATGTATGTATGCATGTATGCATGTGAAATATGCATGTATGCACATGCATGTATGCATGTACAGTATGTATGTGTGCATGTATGCATGTACAGTATGCATGTATGCACATGCATGTATGCATGTACAGTATGTATGTATGCATGTATGCATGTACAGAAACCATGTATGCACATGCATGTATGCATGTACAGTATGTATGTATGTATGTATGCATGTATGCATGTACAGTATGCATGTATGCATGTATGCATGTATGCATGTATGCATGTCCAGTACATGTTTGCACATGCATGTATGTTTCCATGTATGCATGTATGCATGTACAGTATGCATGTATGCACATGCATGTATGCATCTATGCATGTATGCATGTATGCATGTACAGTATGCATGTAAGCACATGCATGTATGCATGTATGCATGTATGCATGTATGCATGTATGCATGTACAGTATGCATGTACAGTATGCATGTATGCGAATGCTTGTATGCATGTATGCATGTACAGTATGCATGTATGCATGTATGCATGTATGCATGTACAGTATGCATGTAAGCACATGCATGTATGCATGTATGCATGTACAGTATGCATGTATGGACATGCATGTATGTATGCATGTATGCATGTATGCATGTACAGTATGCATGTATGCATGTATGCATGTATGCATGTATGCATGTATGCATGTATGCATGTGCAGTATGCATGTATGCATGTATGCATGTACAGTATGTATGTATGCATGTATGCATGTACAGTATGCATGTATGCACATGCATGTATGCATGTGCAGTATGTATGTATGCATGTATGCATGTATGCATGTACAGTATGCATGTATGCAAATGCATGTATGTATGCATGTATGCATGTATGCGTGTACAGTATACATGTATGCACATGCATGTATGCATGTTTGCATGCATGCATGTATGCATGTATGCGTGCATGCATGTGTGCATGTATGCATGTATGCATGTATGCGTGTATGCTTGTATGCGTGTATGCATGTATGCATGTATAGTATGCATGTAAGCAGATGCATGTATGCATGTATGCGTGTATGCATGTGTGCAAATATGCATGTATGCATGTATGCATGTATGCATGTATGCATGTATAGGCGTATGCGTGTATGCGTGTATGCGTGTATGGGTGTATGCATGCATGCGTGTATGCGTGCGTGCAGGTATGGATGTATGCAAGTATGCAAGTATGGAAGGTATGCAAGTATGCATGTATGTAAGTATGCATGTATGCATGTATGCCTGTATGCCATGCATGTATGCGTGTATGTGTGTATGTGTGTATGCGTGTATGCATGTATGGAAGTATGGAAGTATGCAAACATTTGCACGTCTGCATGTAAGCAAATATGCAGATTATGCATGTATGCATGTATGCATGTATAGTATGCGTGTATGCATGTATGCATGTATGGAAGTATGTGTGTGTATGCGTGAATGCGTCTATGCGTGTATGCGTGTATGCATGCATGCATATATTCATGTAGGCGTGTGTGCGTGTAAGGGAGTTTGCATGCATGCAAGTATGGAAGTATGAAAGCATGCAAGTATGCAATTGTGCATGTATGCATGCATGTATGTATGCATGTATGCATATACAAGTATGCAAGTATGCAAGTTTGTCTGTGTGTATGTAAGTATGTGTGTATGTATGTATGGATGTATGTATGTATGCATACATGCATGCATGTATGTATGTATGCATGTAGGTAATGTATGTATGTATGTATGTATGTATGTATGTATGTATGTATGTATGTATGTATGTATGTATGTATGTAATGTATGTATGTAATGTAATGTAATGCAATGCAATGCAATGCAATGTAATGTAATGTAATGTAATGTAAGTATGTAAGTATGTAAGTATGTAAGTATGTAAGTATGTAAGTATGTAAGTATGTAAGTATGTAAGTAAGTAAGTAAGTAAGTATGTATGTATGTATGTATGTATGTATGTAATGTATGTAATGTATGTAATGTATGTATGTATTGATGTCTTGTAATGTATGTAATGTATGTAATGTATGTAATGTATGTATGTATGTATGTATGT